GCTATTTCTTTTCCGCCAAATCTGCACCACTCACGTATCTTGCTACAAACGAGACGAACCTGAATGGAGCACCGATGAGTGGAGCGTCCACCAGAGGCACACCAGCACTTACTTTGTCTTCTTTCGCTACTATAACCTGTGATTCCACATCTATTTCCCCATTCGGGTTCAGAGAAACCGGCACTGTTTCCTCTGTTTCGCCTTCTGACAAGTTTCTCTCCACCAATGCAGTATTATCATCCATGTCCCTGGAGTTATCAGTTCTATTCACCTCGTCGTGTATCGGTATTTCTTCTAAGGATTCAGACTTATCTACTTCAACTGCTAAGCTCTCAGGGGATGAAGGAGAAACATGCTGCGATTGGTTCAGCTTAATACACAACTCGTTCACCTGACAATGTAATAATAATAGCCAGTGAGATTTTCAATCACCCAACAACAAAGTAACTCAGTAGGATCTATAGCATTACACCTACTTACCTTCTCAACAAGTTCAGCGTTTTCAGTGATAAGCTTTTCAACTAGAGTACAAGCTGCGTCAATCTGTGAGTTTAATTCTTCCTCAGAAGCACCCTATATCAACCATCAGAAACCGTTTCATGCATTTCTGAGAACTTCATTGGAAAGGCAATATATAGTCTCACATTAATGTTTTAGAATTAAGAATCTTCCATATTGGGAGTATTCAAAGTCTAACCTTTGCGTTACTCTCATGGTTTTCATCCTGGACTTGATGATTGGATACAGTTTTCACAAGACTCTGATTCTGCTCCAGAAGATTACTCCTAGATTCTTCCAACTCCATAACCTGCCAAACTTTGTTTTAATCTTCATATCAGACTAAATTTATGCAGTATTATGCTTAGCTGCTTCCTGTACTATATTCACTTAGGCTAAAGTAACGTGTTCAGATGCAATTCAGTGAATGTTTCATGGAAATGAGAAAATCATTTATGCTTAAATGAAAAGATGAGACACATACCTGTGCTCGCAGCCTTGCAATTTCATTGTTCAGGCTAGAAATAATTTCTCTGGATGAGTTCTGCAGGATTGAATGTCTACGATGAGTAAACCATGGCCGTGTTTTTTTAACTCTTAAGAGACTTTACTTCAAAATGGATATCAAGCTTTTCTAGTTTAAGATAGAGTTACCTCCACAACCACTGAGGATTCTTCATCATGTTGAAGTTGTTGAATTTTCTTTTCTAGGCTTGCCTGATTGAAATCATGCAATTTTGACTAAGAATATGCGACAAGAATGCATCATAACAGAAGTATTTGCAACTGTTATCTTCCAAGGAATGAAGACATACCTCTTTCTGAGTGAAGGTAGATCTTTCGTCTAGCAATTGCCTCATCTCGACTTCTGTACTAGACTGCCAAATTTATATAAATGTAAGAACTACACATATCATGTTCTTGCATATGAAATATGATGTGACATGACATCTAATAGCACGCTGATATGTCCTGACAACACGACTATCTTTCACGTTAACCAAGATCAACTTTCCTACTCTATCAATTTGTGAGGGTGGTAATATTTCTCCCTCTTAATAGCATCCGTCTCCTGATTTAATGCTAAATACTCGTCCTATTTTGCATAAAGAGAGATAATTAGAAAGCAAACCAAGTTATAGAGATAACAGAACTTGCATATGATCACACACAGGATAAGCTATAGTACTAAAAGAACGCTCCCGTGTTGAAGATGTCTCACCATTTCACGAACAAGTACGTCGTTCTTTGTTTTATACTGCACAAGTCTTTCCTCCAACTTCTCCTGCATAAACACAATGTTACTTTGACCTTTCTTTTGCAGATGATCAAGCAAAATAAAAAAGCTATGCATGCGGCTTTATGCTATTTTCTTCACTAACCTCGTTTTGTTTGTGACCTTCATTCTCGGTTTTCAAATGCAAGAGTCTTTCTTCTAACAGTGCCTGTGAAACACCATGTTATTTTGACCTTCAGCTTGCAGGTGATCCAGCAAAATAAAAAAGCTGTGCATACGGCTTTATACTATTTTCTTCACTAACCTCGTTCTGTTTGTGAGCTTCATTCTCGGTTTTTGAATGCAACAGTCTTTCTTCTAACAGTGCCTGTGAAACACCATGTTATTTTGACCTTCAGCTTGCAGATAATGCAGCAAAATAGCAAAGCTATGGATACGGATTTATGATATATCTTCACTAACCTCAGTTTGTATGTGAGCTTCATTCTCTGTTCTCAAATGCAAGAGTCTTTCTTCTAACAGTGCCTGTAAAACACCATGTTATTTTGACCTCCAGCTTCCAGATAATGAAGCAAAACAGCAAAACTATGAATACGGCTATATGCTATTTCTTCACGAACCTCACTTTGTATGTGAGCTTCATTCTCTGTTCTCAAATGCACAAGCCTTTCTTCTAACAGTGCCTGAGAAACGCCATGTGATTTTGACCTTTCAGCTTGCAGATGAAGCCGGAAAATAGCAAAGTGATGAAAAAGGGGTTCCTCTATTCTTCACTAACCTCTTTCCGTATGTGAGCTTCATTCTCAGTTTCCAAGCGTCTAACAGTTTCTTCAAAAGCAGCCTATTAAGACATGGCAATTCATATTTTACTATTTTACTACTCCACTGAGGGAAGAACCGTGACTAGGATTGGTTTTCTTTATTATTCACTAACCTCTTTCTGTATGTGAGCTTCATTTTCAGTTTCCAAGCGCCTAACAGTTTCTTCAAAAACAGCCTATTAAGACATGGCAACTCAAATTTCACTACTCCACTGAGGAAAGAACCATGACTAGGTGGAAGATCAACTTTATACTATAAAACCAACCAAAAAAATGCTTGGTAAGAGAATATCACCTCTTTCTGACTGTAGGATTCATTTTCATCACGTAACTGTTTGATTGTTTCTTCCAGCAACACCTACACCAGCATTACAAACTAGTTCTGAAATCCAAGTGAAAAGATAAAAAAGAAGAATCTGATTGTTGCCTTTTTATGCATACAACAATCAGTGTTTTACTGTTGTTCTTTGATCTTTCTCATCTACATTAGCCAACCAAAAGAACAGTTGTGTACTCTGCCAAAAGACATAGTGGGAAATCTCACCTCACTGGTCCGAGCTGCGTTCTCAACACCAGATTCATCAAAACAAGAAGGTGTTAAGAATATCAGGCTCATGAACTATCACATAATTTTTGCCTACCACCTCTATACAAATCACATGGATTACAAGTAGACATTGCAATAAGCAAACATGTACATAGCAAAAGAATCCGTTTGATCGGATGAAACGAATTGCATTCAGTCAACATTACAATGTGGCTACAAAAGAATCAATATCCAACAACATTGACATATAAACTAACAAATTAATCGAATTACATCAATTTCGTATCAACCCCAATTTGCAATGTTCAATCGATCTAAGATAATATAAAACTTACAGTTTCGACGACATTGATCTGGTGAGACGGTACTTGAGACTCATCGGAATCTGGGACTTGGGTAGTTTGAGCAACGTCACCATCTCCGATATGATTCCCATCCTCCGAGGTCGCGACGACTCCGGTAACTAAAGCGTCGTCTACACGT